TCGATCAACGGTTGTTAGTTAGTAACAAACGTTCCAGTGACAGCCTTGCATGGATATAAATCACCTTGTCGCTCAGGCCCTGACAATGGGTATACTTACATAACTCGTGCCTGTGACCCTGGCCCTCTTTTGTGTAACTTTAACCTCCTACTGTTTAAACAGTCACAGACAGTCAAAAATTCCATCTACTTCCCCTGCCATGCTTTTTACACAGGCTAGTCACCAACAATCAGATCATCGATTGGTATTTTTCACAAGCACTATAACTAGTTAAATTCAGTCAACAGACAAAAGCAGCAAACTGGTAGCACAGCTGTGTTATCAATCATCTGCTAAATATATGTAGGCTGGGAGCTCGTAACTGTTGAAAAGTCACTTGATTGATTTTGACTGAAAGGACAGCTTGGCACAGAATGTATTTTTGCATTTACCGGTATGAGGGTTACAAATTTAACCCTAACCCCTTAGGTATTTTTACTAGAAAGTATCATGAATCCGCCAAAATCCATCAATTTTGCCATGCAAAAAATCGTTGATGGCCAGTGAGTCCATCAAAATCCACCAATTAGAAGGGAGTAAATCTGTTGAGATCCTGAATCCATCAAAGTCCCTCAACTGCTCAATATGGAGGTATCCTGAATCCATCAAAATCCTGCAGTACCGCTAGGCTTACTGTCCTGTATCCAACAAAATCCCCCAACTTTTTCAATATGGAGGTATCCTGAATCCACCAAAATCCTCCAAAACAGGGGTGTGGATTTTGATGGATTCAGGTACGTTAGGGTTAATGCAGTCCTGAAAAATGGGGTCACTAGGGTCAAAATCCTGATGTTTATACTGAAAACACTACTCCTTCCAGAAATCACCAGGAATCAAAGGGCACAATCACTTCTGAGATTCTGCAGCTTCTGAGATCGTTTCGAGCTTGTTCATTTGTACACTAAGGGTACTGCGTCACGGTCACAATTCCAATAATTTCTGACAACTTTTTTGAGAAGTAACTTTTGGCAAAGTGTCTATACACATTACTGAGGGAATAGGCCTAACTGTGTATTAAGACCGGTTGGAGTCTGGATGTGGCAGGTTTTAAACACTGTGTTTAAGACCGGTTGGAGTCTGGATGTGGCAGGTTTTAAACACTGTGTTTAAGACCGGTTGGAGTCTGGATGTGGCAGGTTTTAAACACTGTGTTTAAGACCGGTTGGAGTCTGGATGTTGCAGGTTTTAAACACTGTATTTAAGACCGGTTGGAGTCTGGATGTGGCAGGTTTTAAACACTGTGTTTAAGACCGGCTGGAGTCTGGATGTTGATATTCGGCTCGGATAATTATCAGCATCCAGACTCCAACCGGTCTTAAAAAAAGTGTTTAATACCGGCCAAGTTCACATATTCTGGCCAAGTTCACATATTCATACATTCTCTCCTGAAGACGGTCAGAGCATACTGACCGGAACGTCGAGTTTATACCGGTACCTCTGGTTCTTTTCAGAACCATTCTCTTAGTTGAGAAATTATTCGCACATGGTGTTTCCGCAAACCTTTCATTATTTAGTATCTCCACCATGCAAAGTCTCAAATCTTACCTAAGTTCATATATTCCCATTCATAATACCTTTTCGGTCAAATAACTTTAACTTTTCGGTCCAAAAGTAAAAAAAAGTCAAAATCATAAATTATTTCCAACAATTTTTTTCAACAATTTTACATCATCGTTTTGGTTTTGCGGTAACACCATGTGGTAATAACTACTGCTTAGAAGATATTAGTTCTGAGAAGAACTTGTCCTGCTTATTATCAACTTGCTAAGTAGTTTTTGTTCTGTTTAGAACAGTCCTAAAAGAACTTGTCTTTGGTCTCAGTCCTAAAAGAACTTGTCTTTGGACTAGCCTGCTCTAGTCATCGTCAGGATGACTAGAGCAGGCTAGTCGAAACGTTGAGACCAAAGACAAGTTCTTTTAGAACTTACAGCAGGACTGTTCTAAACAGAACAAAAACTACTTAGCAAGTTGATAATAAGCAGGACAAGTTCTTCTCAGAACTAATATCTTCTAAGCAGTAGTTATTACCACATGGTGTTACCGCAAAACCAAAACGATACCGATACCCCACCATGCAAAGCCTCAAATCTTATAATTTTACATCATGTTTTTCGGGACACCAAAGCTATATTATTGCATGTAGTCTCCCGAGTGTCGTAAACAACTCCTTATGTGGAGATTGGTGCGCATGTTGAGGTACTGCGCTATGTGGTGCAGAACGAAGCAGTGCCGGTGTATTGTGAATTTAGGACTATGAAATTCTGACTCACTGGTAGTACTGCGCATGCCTAAGTTAGGATTGTGAACATTCTACCAATAAAACATTAAAAGGCACCGGATTTCATTGGAGTTTCAAGTGACACTGGAAAAGTGTTTAAGACCAGCCAGCTGGTCTTTATCAGCCGTTTAAGACCGGCCACGTGATGGGCTCTCAACCAATACGGGTAAAATGTCTTAGGAATTTGTGAATTGTAATTAACCCTAACTCCCTAGGCCTTTTTGCTAGGATGAAGCCTCAATCCTGCAAAATCCTCCAATTGGCCTCATGGAAATCTATAGTATATAGCCTCAATCCTGCAAATTCCTCCATTATTTTGTGAATATTGTCCTTGGAGGGGTGACCACTGTCTGAATCCTGCAAAATCCTGCGGCAGTGACTGTCAAATGTCAATATGTTGAGGCTTGGTCAGTGACATCCTGGAGCAGTATGGAGGATTTCAAGCATAATCCAGGCCTGAATTTATGCATGGCTGAGCAAAAACAACACAAGGTCTGGCCCAAGACCTTGACAAAGTGCATCCTACGAAATCAGTAACGCACTTTTGCCATGTAACCTCAATCCTCCAAATTCGTCCACTTTGGCAAAGAGGATTTTGAAGGATTCAGGGTGGTTAGGGTTAATGAATTCCTTGTGCTTGACACTCTTTCATGACATTTTATCTCCATCATGTCAACTAGTGTTTACTTTTACAATTGAGTTATTAAGAAGCAAACCCAAATTATTCCTGCATTGCAAAAACAGAGCAAACTTCTAAACTGTAATAATAATTTGTAAAAAGTGGAATGTAACATGTATAAAAAAAGATAACTCACTGCATGCAGGTGCTATTTTCTTTGTAATACTTAATCTTGAATGAGTGAAAATATGATGCAAGCTGTATGCAAGAAATATTTCTAGGCTTTGTAAATCAAAGGACTTGTTTACCATGTATTTCGACACAACTTTTGCTTTAGTCCATAGGTAACTGCAATAGAAAATGTGTGAGGGGGCTGTCCAATAACCCTTTTTCTGAATAGGAAGTTGTGATTTAATTTTGCATTTTTGTTGCACATTCATATTGTTCTATTTAAAGGGAATATACATCATTTGGTTTTGCTGTAATTTTCAGAAATAGATGGAATTGGGGGGTTGGAAATATAAAGCAAATATAGTTACACTGACTTTTTGGAGGTTTTGGGTTCGAAAATGCTATAAAAACCAAGAAAAACGATCATTTTCCTGTAGTCTGGTTCCCTGACTCCATATAAGAAGAAACAGAGCAGTTTACATACATTGGGGAATTGTAAGGTCAGGGAACCAGTCTAGCTGGCTCGTACCCGTTCATAGGTTTGTAATCGATTGCAAACAAGTGCAATGGTCAATTGGGGCCAGTATTTGAAAAAAAGCCAGTTGTTTCCAACGCTGATCGGCCGATCAGCGTTGGAAATTGATACAAAAATACCACTTTTCTTGAAAATGACAGTATACCAGGTGCCATAATTTTACAGGATGCTTTAGACTGTCATTTACCAACATCCTATTAAGGTATTTCGCAAAAACTTGGTAGTTTTATTTTTCGATGTTTGCAAATGTTGTATATTCCCTTTAAATTCAAATATCAAAATTTTTGAAATCATGATTGCTGATGTCTGCCATATATTTATTGAAATAAGCATATATGAGTAAAGAAAAATATTTTGAGAAAATGTGAGTTTGGAACATTTCAATCATGTTTCTGCACTCCTTTTTGTATGCAAAATAATCACACTTTACTCTGCATTAACCCTTACCCTACTTGACCCTCCAATGCATGCCAATTGTGCCTCAAGAAAATCTCCTATGTTTTTGCATGGCCCTCCAATATCTGCCATGTCATTTCAAGGGTAACTGGACAGGCACTCCAATACATGCCACAGAGAACAATGAGAGTCCTCTGATAACAAAGTGAGTGCCCCCAGCTGGTCAGTATCAGGCACCCTCCAGGGCCTCCAACTCCTGCCAATTGGAGCCTTCACTGCTAAGACTTGTTATCTGCCAAATAACTGCAGCTGGAGGGCATTGGCATAACCAACTGACATGCAGTAAACTACCCTCAGAGAGTAAGGGTTAAGGCAGCGTACACATTTTCAGACTCAGAGTATAACAAATCCCTGATTGAACGTTAAATCCACTTTTCTTTGTTTTGGTTTGCCAATTCCAACAGAATCCAAACGTGTATTAAAATGTTTCTTTTACTTTTTCTACAAAACCATGTATCAAGGAAAGAATGTTGCAACCTGACACCACTTCAGTGGTTGTGTACAAAGTCTATGACTGTAGAGCAAAGAAAACTTAAGTCATGTAAGTAGGTCATATTTACGGCAAAATATTATTTAGGCAAAATCGGAAATGTTTCTCAATCCCAGATTCATGTCTTATCATCGTTTATGCAATGACTGACTTTCATTGAGATGATATATGAAGAAAGAAGCAGCGTCAGGTTGCAATATTCTTTCCCACATCAAAAAAAAATATATTCCAAAAAATTTAGCCTCCCTGACATGCCTGATGTGACTGAGACTGAGTCTGAGCTCAGTGATGCATATAATTATTCATGTTATTTGTACATCTTATTTAACAACTTTTCCGAACATTTTTTAGCCTTTCTGACAACACACGTTTACTCCCTGTTTCGAATTTCAGTTCACCAATCTATACTTACTTGAACAACAACATTAACTTCACGAATTGTATCGACCATGAGTTGTACATTGTCATCTGGCGTTAGCACTTCGTAATGAAAGTCGTCTTCTTCAATTTGATCCCGTTGCGAAGAACCTTCATCATCGTCCATTTCAAAGTGCCCTTCAAAGTCACTGGACTCCATTTCATCCTCCTCGACGTCTTCCTCACCCAATATATATTCATCCTCCTCATCCATGGCGACTTTCCAGTAAACAAACCTTAGAAGAAATCACAAAATTCCAACGTACAAAAGTTTTCCCCAAATCGAAATCCTCGTCTCGTCTGTGCATGTAAAAATAGTGCAATGTTATGATCATTACGTCACTGCCCTCGAACAAAACTAACAAAATATGGTGAATATGAACTTTTTTTCTGTACATTTCGTGAAACGTATTCAAAAAAAAAAAAAATCTATCTTCAATTAAATATACTGTTTGTATTTAATAACGAATGCTTTGATAAAGAAAATGTGTTATTAATAAAATTTCAAAATTGTGTTTATAAAGAGTTTCTCGACAGCAGACGACTGATTCATGTCTGAATCAGTCACAATGCAATTAATATCAATTAATTCGCACAATTCCATGCTCTTTTTATCCATTATCAACACTCGTCCGAAATACAATTTCATTGTAATTTTAATTTAATTTTCTAAGTAACTTTTAAGTAATGAGAAACCTATAAATCTTAGATACAGATTATTTTTGCTTCAGTCCTCCTGATTTCACTGGTACCAGCTTCATTCGAAATAAGAAATTTATAATATACTACCGGTACCAGGGAACCAGTTTTTATTATTTGCATAGAATGTCAAAGGTTATGAAGCTCAAGGTAGCCGCGGATTTGGCCGGATTTCTGGCCGCGGATTCAGCTGCGCATTCATTAAAAAACAAAAAACAATCTATAGTACATGCGGCAAAAGGTGATTTAGTTTCAAGAAAAATACTTTATTCCTCGAATTTTTGCATAAAAAACGACAAATAGCAATACTTTTTTCACATATAAAAAAAACTGACATAAGCAGCCGTTACATCCAATTTTCGATGTAAAAAGTACTATTAAATTAGCTGCATATATGGGAATCATGACATTTCGTGTTATTCTTCAACACTTTTGGAGACGTTTGAAAGTAAGTGCATCATTTGAAACGAAGTGTACCACACATAATATCAAAGCTCACAATTTTACTGCCCGATTAGAATGTGTTCTTTTCAACAGTGCATATTTATCACTGCCCCTTTAAGACAAAGGCTCACATGTTGTCAAAAACTCACAATTTTATTCCACAATCTGCGATATCATGTTACTGTTCATTGGCTTCAGCCGAACACTAATTAGCGTCTCATTAGCCCGTTAAAGTGACCCTATTTTTCTGCGACCCAATTTTACGAAGCCGAATAGAACCAATTCGAATAGTGCAGGGCAAATGCGGTCACTTTAACGGGCTAATTAGGCACTTCTTAGTGTTCGGCTGACGCTTAAACCGAAATGAAGTGCGCCCAGTGACATTATTTCGCAGTTTATGAAATAAAGCTGCGTGTTTTTGACATGTGCGGTACACTTTGTTTGTTTTAAACAAGCAGTAATACAGTGTGAGTAAAAAAAAAAAAATGAAACCCAAATGTCGGGACTATTATTTTAGTGGAGTTCTGCATGACAAACAAGATTTGCCTCACTTTTGCACAGAAACGTACGATAGTCAAGCTGGACACGCTCTCAAATTAAGTGACGCATTGAATTGAATTCTGGCCAGATGATTGGTCATGAAAAAATAGACAAAAAAGACAGAAGATTGAGACAAAGCATTGTTATTTCTCCCTCAACAGTGTCTTGTGTCAACACGGAGAAAAACTTGGCGATAGGCTGCAGCCGCAGTCCAAACAGAACATTTCTCACTTTTGCAAAGAAACAATAATCCAGCTGGACACACTTTCTCAAACATTAAGTGACGCATTGATTTGAATTCTGGCCACATGATTGGTCATGAAAAATAGACAAACAAGACAGAAGATTGAGACAAAATAATGTTTTTGTCTCCCTCAACAGTGTCTTGTGTCAACACGGAGAAAAACTTGGCGATAGCTAGGCTGCAGCCGCAGTCCAAACAACATTTCTCACTTTTGCACAGAAACGGAGTAGTCCAGCTGGACAAGCTATCTCAAAAAATAAGTGACGCATTGATTTGAATTCTGGTCAGATGATTGGTCATGAAAAATAAACAAACAAGACAGAAGACTGAGACAAAATATTGGTTTTCTGTCCCTCAACAGTGTCTTGTGTAAACACGGAGAAAACCTTGGCGACTGCAGGCACTTCCGTACATTTCACCAACATCAATTTCTTCCAAAAGAGGGCGCGCTACACAAATACTGGTCACCTCCGTAATCCGTCAACGTGGATCACGATCTGCCCAAACGAAGTCGGCATTTAGTGAACAAAAAAAAACACTTTGTGGAGACGATAGCTCAAGAACAACACAGCGCACTGAATTCAAATTTCGTTCAATAATTGTTCGGGATATACACGTTACATTAAAATGAATTTTCGTACACTCATTTGTCATGATGTTTGGCATCAAACGATTTCACGCAATTTCAATTTAATCCATTTTGTATTTCTTGAGTAGTTCATCGGAAACGAGGTTGTTCTTTTTCTTCACTTGTGCAGCATCCGTGTTGATGCGTTGTTGAGACCACTATTTACGTGGCGCGCCCTCTATTATAGTGGTCTCGATCTCCACCACCAAACCCGATTTCGGGCCAACAACTCAAGAAATACACGTTACATTAAAATGAATTTTCGTACACTCATTTGTCATGATGTTTGGCATCAAAAGATTTCATTTCAGAAAATAAAGTCCATTAATCAAGCTATTATGACCGTAACAATACAGGATTTTATTTGCAACAAATACAATCCTAATGGAAGTCAACATGGATTTTTAACGTTTAAAACACTAGATTGTTACGATCATATTATAATTACAGCTCCACGGTTTCTCACGCCATTCAAACTACTCATGCTACACATCGTGAAAACTAATTGCACGAAATTTCAATTTAATCCATTTTGTATTTCTTGAGTAGTTCATCGGAAACGAGGTTGTTCTTTTTCTTCAATTGTGCAGCATCCGTGTTGATGCGTTGCCGAGACCACTATTTATGTGGCGCGCCCTCTATTATAGTGGTTTCGATCTCCACCACCAAACTCGATTTGGGGCCAACAACTCAAGAAATACACATTACATTAAAATGAATTTTTGTACACTCATTTGTCATGATGTTTGGCATCAAAAGATTTCATTTCAGAAAAAAACGTCAATAATCAAGCTATTATGACCAATATAATACAGCCCATGGGCGTTGACTTTCTTATTTCATTGTTTGTATTTTTCGCGTTTAGAATATCTTTGCAAGTTCGGTCATATCGTTTGTTATTGTTTGACGGTTCCCATAGTATTACATTTATTTATCACGGTTGTCTATGGAAATTTAGTTGATCGGGTGCACCGTATCCCGTACATTTTATCAACATCGATTTCTTCCAAAATAGGGCGCGCAACATAATACTGGTCACCACCGTAAATACTTCGGTCAACGTGGATCACGATCTGCCCAAAGAAGTCGGCATTAAGTTAACAACAATACAAGTGCTTCGTGGAGACGATAACTCAAGAACAACACAGTGCACTGAATTGAAATTGTGCTCAATTATTGTTCGGGATGTAGGACGCAAATATTTGGAAAATCAACGGGAACCCTTGAAGAATAAATGTTATGTGATTTAAAGAACATACAGTTTACTAAAGTTCAATCCGAATTGCAGTGAACAAAAATAAAGCACTCTGTGGAGACGATAACTAAAAAAACATATTGCACTGAATTGAAATTTCGTACATTAATTGTGCTGGATATAGGACTCGACAGTTTTGAAAATCGACGGGAACACTTGAAGAATAAATTTAATATGATTTAAAGAAAATACAGTTTATTAATCGCGAAAAACTCAACTTGTCTTTGTTTTAAGGGGAGTGAAATACGCAGTTGAATAGAACGCATTCTAATTGTAATTGCGCAGTAAAAATATTGTGACGGTTTGGCCACTGAGGGCGCTGTCCAGCGCGTGAGTTGGTCGAGCAGCATCGCGTAGTGCGTAGTGCGTCGTGCGTGCCGTGCCCTGGATCCCCAGGGACCTTGCGCGCACATACTGCAATTTGGCCAAATATTAGGCTCCCGCCTAAAATTTGGCAGGTTGAGTTTGGCCGTCGGGGAAGCAGCATCAACATTTTTATACGTTACAGTCAACTTCATCGCCTTTTCCTTATTCTCGTTATAGTGTGTAAGTTATTACCTAGTTCTAAAACAGTTTAGTTGTGGATGGAACATGACCAGAAACTTTGATCAGTGAATCATCAACCCGTCTCCTTGTTTATTCCTTTCTTTGAGTCCAATTCCCCGGCCTTTAGTTTAGTTCTGTAATTCTCCCAAGATTGTTCAGCCAAGCTAGCCCACTCGCGTGAGTTTAAGTCCTTGACCGCAACGGTTCGTTACACTGGTGGCAGCGCTGTGGATTTAGCTTCGGTCGGAACAAGTTAGATTTTATTTTACTAAAGTTCTGTACTGTAGACGTATGAAAGAGAATTCCCGGAACGTTAGGTTTTCAGTTTGTACGGCAGTGGTTGTTCACCGAGCCGTTGATATCCCCTACCGTTCAGAGCGTTCCGGGGCTGGCAGCTGCTAGCGTCATGCACACGGCAGTGGTGGTTTCCGAGCCGTAAATTCCAACCGTCATTTGACCATTGAGTTCCCGGGTGGGTGACGGCAGTGGTGTTTACCGAGCCGTGTAGCCCAACCAGCTCATCGAAGTACAGCCAGTCCCTAGCGGATGAGCGGCGATTGACCGAGAAAGCAAGGCCTTGCTGTACCGTTGACAGGCGTTTTATAACGGCAGTGGTGTAAACCGAGTCGTTGTGAAGTTTTAGCGAACTCGTATTAAAAAATTGACAGCCAAACGGCAGTGCACGTAATGTGTATACATGTACGCACGTACGTGCGTGAGTGCGTGTACAGTACGTACTAAGCGCGCATAGTGTATAGTTGCTTCACTCTATTAACAGATTCATCCGCCCAGCCCGGAGTTTTGTATCTGCCCGGAGTTATCCGGCCGGATTCCTTCCGCCCGGATTCAATCCGCCCGGAGTTAAGGCCGCGCCTGCGCCGCCCGGAGTTGATCCGGCCGGAATCAATTGAATATAGAGAATAGGCCTGGTATAGGGGATAGTATTAGCAGGCTATACAGAGTATTTATTTCAATTGATCAGT